AAAAAAAAAAAAAAAAAAAAAAAAAGTTGATTTGCCAGGTTGAAATCTGTTTAAGGTCCTCCAGGAAGGTTATGCTAATCTGATTCCATGGAGAGTTTATTTCCTTATATCTTTGCCAATCTTGGGTATTATCATTAAAATTTTTATTTTTTGCAAATTTGATAACTGAGAAATAGCATTTCATGATTTAAATGTACATTACATTCATTACTCATGAAATGGACCATTGTTATATATTTCGTTTACTCATTTAACCAAGATTTATTGAATGTGTACTGTGTGCCAGGCCCTGTTCTAATCATTTGGGACACTCCAGGCAACAAAACAGAGATCCCCGCCCTAGTGGGGGAGAGCAAGAGGGACAGAGGAGAGCAGTACGAGGCGTGTCATGGGGGCCTGGGAGGCCGTTGGAAGGTTTGGGCCTTTATTCTGAGGGACTGAAGAGCAGAAGAGTGAAGTGACGAGGTCTGACAGGTTGTGACGGTCACCCAGCGGTCACCCAGCCGTTGCTTTAAAACAGTCCACAGGTGGGAGTGGGGGCTAGGGAGACTAGCAATGTGGCTGTTCCGGTAATGCAGGGAGGCCTGGTGGGGGAGGAGGCGGCAGACCAGGCGGAAGAAGCTCTTGCCTGGGTGTGTGAAGGCGGAGCCGGCAGTGTTTCCTGCTGGACTGGACCTGGGTGGGAGAGAGGAGTTGAGGATGACTGCAGGGGTTTTGCCTTTGCTGCTGGAGAGGGTGTTGCCACCGGCTGAGACCAGGAAGGCCTTGGGTGGAGCAGGTTTGGGGGAAATCAGGAATTCAACTTTGAACATGCTGTTAGACAAGGGCCATTTACTGTTCATCTTCTATAAATATTTTCTTCAATTTGTTGCTTGCTTTTTAATTGAGTCTTTCTTAATTTAATAAGTTTATATCTTCATATAGTCAAATCTATCAAGTTTACCCCTTATTCATTCTGCCTTTTTCATAGTGTAATTAGAGAAGATTTTCCCACTGAGGGAGCCCAAATGCATACTTAAATTTTCTTCTATGGGTTTTTTTTTTTTTTTTCTTGAGACAGGATCTTGCTCTGTTGCCTGGGCTAGAGTGAAGTGGTCATCATAGCTCACTGCAAACTCAAATGTTTTGTTTGTTTTTAATTGTTTTAATTTTACCTTTAAGTCTTTAACTCATTGGAATTTATTTTGACAATGATATAAAGAAGGCACCTGCTTTTTTCCCAAAAAAATATAACCATTTGAACGACAACTATTTACTTCTTTCTTCACTAATTCGAATGGCTACCTTTATCATATAGTGGGATTTTTTTTTTCCATTATTCTGACTAGTCTTAAGCTAGCAATGCATTTTACTATGGTAGCTCTTTGACATGCTTTATCCGGTGCTGAAAGCCTCTTTGCCATTGTGAAAACGCAGCACACAGACGGTCACGGAACTGCGGCAAGATGCTGGGTGCAGCTAGGATGGCTGACGCTGGGGGAGGTGGCGCATATTGGAAGGTGATGCGGGGAAGGTAGATAGGTAAAGATCATGGGAGATGGATGGATCATGCTTAGGAATATGTGCCGTATCCTGCTACTTAGTGAGGAGCTGCTGAAATGTATGTTTTAAAAATTGGACTTTTTAAGTTAATTAGGGTTTTTTTTTGTTTTAAAAATAACATGTATTAACTTTTTTTTAATACAGAAAAGTACCAGAAACAATTCAAAAATGGTTCATATAATCACTGTTGACCAAAAAAAATTTTTAAAAAGACAGGCACATAGTTAGAAAATTCAAACAGTACAGAGGGAAAAAGAAAAGTTTACACCCTCCTTTTGCCTTCTTCCCTATTAAAAAATAACTGCCACCATTCTGGGTGTGCCTCTTACAGCCAGGTTGATACGACACTAGCTGTGCATGGTGATCCAAGATGAGCACATGAGCTCTTACTGCTGGGTCGCAAGCAGAGGCCTGCGACTGCAAGGCAGGGATGTGAAGAGGCCTCAAATTTCAAGATGGGGCAGAGGATGGAGCCTGGACTCTTAATTAGCTTGGGTTTTTTGTTGGTGTTTTATTTTTGTTTTTGATTTTTTTTAGAGACAGGGGTCTCACTCTGTCTCCCCTGCTGGAGTACAGTGGCACGATCATAGCTCATTGCAGCCTCAAATGCTCAATAATCCTCCCACCTCGGCCTCCTGAGTCACTGGTACTACAGACACATCCCACCACACCTGGCTAATGTTTTTATTTTTTGTAAAGACGAAGTCTCACTATGTTGCTCAGGCTGGTCTTGAACTCCTGTCCTCAAGTGATCCTCCCACCTTGGCCTCCCGAAGTGCTGGGATTATAGGTGTGAGCCACTTCGCCCAGCCTAGCTTGTTTTTAACGTAAAAGAAATACATGGTCATGGTAAAAAATTGAAAGTTTTAGAGGAGCATATAGTAAGGAACAAAAGCCCCCTTTACCACAATTCTTTAATGTCCTTATTCATATTCAAGATTACCATCTTCTTGTGTATTATTTCAGAACATTTCTCTGCATAGGCGTGTGTGTGCCTGTGCACGTGTACATCCAGCATACACACACTCAGTTGGGATCATATGATCCATTACTCTCCTGAAACTTGCTGTCGCTCATTCAGCATATCTTGGAGATCTTTCCACATG